TTACACCCAATTACCATTAGTAATCTACAAAGAATGTTGGTGGGCGGAAATGAGTGTTACACAATAGTCTGCTCATTATAGTATTATAGAAATTGCTTGTTATTGTTTTAAAATGTCATCTCTATAAAAATATTATTCACTTCTCATGTCTTGTTACCTACAGATTGTTTTAAGATGTTAAAAGTGGTCTAGGGGTGAGGCTCAGTGGTAAAGCACATGCCTGGTATGGGAAGATGAGGGGTCCTTAGGTTCAATTCCCAACACTGCCAAAAAAGAGATAAGAGAAAATGCTGACTTTTAATAGTAACCCAATTTAACACATCAAGAGAGAAAATTGAACTCCTGGGGATAGCTCAGCAGTGGAGAACTTGCCAGGTAGGTGTGAGGTCCAGAGTTTGATCCCTGTCACCGCCCTACATACTAAAGCATCATCCAGCCACACCCCAACCATAAGGTCTCTGGTGAACCCTAGAACCAAATTATGACCCTCCCCCCTTGCAAAACCAACCAAAAAAGGGGAGAAGAAAGAGGGAGGAGAGGAGAATTGCATTTGGAAAATAGAAACCTACTATAAAACTATTTCCATCATCAAACTCAATTTTGCAAAGTATTAGGGACCAAGCCAGTGGGGGGGGGGGGGAAGCCCTGGATTTTTCTTGCATAATTATTTCAGCTGAACGGAGTTGGGATGGGTTACCTCCCTCCACCCCCCTCCCTGTTCTTCCAGGAGCCTGGCAGTCACACCCAAAAACTGCCTCTGGCACCATATAAGCTCATTAGCTGGCCATGATCCAGAGAATCATAAATAAATCTCAGGGGCTGGAGCAATAGCACAGCGGGTAGGGCATTTGCCTTGCACGCGGCAGACCCAGGTTCGATTCCCAGCATCCCATATGGTCCCCCAAGCACCTCCAGGAGTAATTCCTGAGTGCATGAGCCAAGAGTAATCCCTGTGCATCACCGGGTGTGACCCAAAAAAGCAAAAAATAATAATAATGATAATAAATAAATCTCAAAAGAGATCAGCAAGCTGCAGAGATGCTTCCGGACCCAAAAGTCACCATCCAGTTAAAAAATTTAACTCCAGCTGTATCACCCCATTCAAAATTTTAGAATTCCTGGAGCACGTAACCACGACATCTAATGCTCTACACCACTGATATTCCAGGTGTAGCACACCACATTGGATGGGTTGTAAAGTAGAACGCAACAAATCACGATTAAGAAAATCTTAGCACACTAGGCCTCACCTGTAATAAGATGTTAGTAATCTCTTATACAAGAGTTTAATGGCTCCAGGGTGAGATACAACAATCTTCACATACTTTCTTCTAAGGAAATCTTTTTTGATCATTTTTAGCAAATTATTCATAACAGCAATACAAAATAAATTATTTAGGGCCTGCAATTGGTGCGGGTTGGGTGGTGATTGGAAAAATTGGAAATAAAGATGATTGGAAGGTATAATAGTAGAGGAATTGGTGTTGGAATATTGAATGTGATAAATCATCACTAACAACCTTATAAAAATAAAATTTAAAAATCATCTTCAAATGTCAAAAATAGAGAGAAAGAAAGAAAGAAAGAAGGAAGGAAAGGAAGGAAGGAAGGAAAGAAAGGTCCAGACAGCTAGCTCAAGTAGAAGAGGACATGCCTGGCATGAGTGCATCAGAGTCTGGGTTCAATCCCCAGCTCCACGTGCCCCCTATCCCAGCTGGGCGTGGGCCCTAGAAACTGTCAGCAGGATCGTTATCATGATAATGACAAATGAAATCATCAAAAAAGGGAGCCTGGTGGAAGCTGGAATCTGCTGATGCTGACATGGGTTCAGGAATGCAGGACTTGCCCATGCCTTGGCTGCCATGAACCCCTGGGGGAACACCCACAGGCCAAAGCACGTCCCCCATCAACACCCTCCAGGCTTGGATCTGACTCAGCCCAACTCTGTCCCCTGAGGTGCTCAGAGAACCTGGGCATCTCTCCTGCCAGTTGAACTCTGTCTGCTTGGGAGGTAGAGGAAAGCACTGGAAAGAATTCAGATGTCCAGTTGGCGTGGTGGTGGTGGTGGTGAGGAAGGCAGAGGGGGTTGGGGAGGCTGATGTCAAGGCCTTATGTGTGGGAACCCTAGGAACTGAGACTGCTGGAGTGACCCTAGGCACATCGACTGGAGGGTTCCCCCAGGTTCCTCAGTAGTACTTGGGGGGCCCCAAAACTTGGTTTGGGGAAGGTGCAGGGATTTGGCAAGAGGAGGATTTGGGATGCTTTACCTGTGAGATTCCAGGTCCACTGTGAGTGTCCAAAGTGTCCAGTGGCTGTTAACAAACAAAATGTATCAATTTTCCTAGGGAGAGTTAATTTTGTTATTGTTGTTGCTGTTGTTTGGGGGACACATCCATGGATGCTCAGGCTTACTCCTGGCTCAAGAATCACTCCTGGTGGTACCAGGGAGGACCCTATGGGATGCCAGAGATCGAACTCTGGTCAGCCGCATGCAAGACAAGCGCCCTCCCTGCAATACTATCACCAGGCCCCTGCCTAGAAGAGTCTCTTCCAGATGATAAACTGCTTCCCAGCCAACTGGGGGCAGCAACTAGGTCTCGGCTTATGGTCCGACCTGCTCCTCAGAGTCTGACTCCAGACAGACAGGTGAGTGGACACAGACCCAAGGTCCTTGTTCAGGTCACAGCAACTGTGGGGATATCCAGCCCATTGTCTTCAGTGGGTCTGAGTCTGAATGTCCACGTGGCTCTTGTCCTGGTCAACGGACAACAATGTGTCCTTCATGTTCCCAAGAGGGGATATCACCTCTCCATCTATTCTCTCTCCTCATATTAAAAACACAGTCATGGAGCTGAAGCAATACTACAGTGGAGAGGGTGTTTGCCTTGTATGCAGCCGACCCGAGTTTGATCCCTGGCAGCCTGTACGGTCCCCTGAAACTGCCAGGAGTAATTTCTGAGCGCAGAGCCATCCTGAACACTGCTGGATGTGGCAAAATATAATTGCATTTTTGGCCCGAGAGACAGTACAGCGGGCAAGGTGCAGCCTTGCACATACCTGAACTGAGTGCAATCCCTGGTATATAGGGCCCCCCAAGCCCACCAGGAGTGACTCCTGAGTGCAGAGCCAGGAGAGATCCCTGAGCACTGCTGGGTGTGACCCCAAAGCAAAAATAAGGTAGGGATGGAGAGATGGTGCAGTTAAGGCACTTGCCTTCCATATGACCAACCTCCATTCAATTCATGCCACTGCACAGGGTGCCCCAAGTCCTGCCAGGAGTGATTCCTGAGAAGAACCAGGAGTAATACTTGAACATGGTAAAGTGTGGCCTAAACACACTCTGAGTTCATACTCCCATGGACATGGTCTCTGGGTGTCACTATCCATGTCCCTGTGTCCCTGTCTCTGAGTTTCATACGCCTGTGGAAATGGTCTCTGGGTGTCACTCTCTCTGTCTCTGAGTCTGCACGTTCATCAGTTCCATAAATCATTCATTCATCCAACTTCATAAACATCCTCAGGGCCTCTGCAGGGTTCCCATCCAGTGGGGAGACAGGCTAACCAGAGGACTCATGTGAGGGAGACAGAAAGGTGGATGATGGGGGTCAGAGGTCTAGAGGAGAAGTCATGCTTGATTTGGGGGGTCCAAAGATGGAACCCTGGTATTGGAGCTATGTGTCCCAGAACCTGCGGCTGTGGGTTCCAAGGAGGAAGGGAAGGGAAATCCAGAGGTCTCATCAGGAGTCGCAGAACAGAGATGTCCACAATTCATGCAAATGCTGAAGCCAATTCTCTGACACCCTCCTCCCTGTTCCCTGTTCCCTGTTCCCTGGGAATCCAGACCCGGGATTCCTCGTGACTATCTAGGTGGAGATCAGAGGAGCGCAGGGCGGGGTGGAGGAGCCCTGGCCGGCCGGGCTGCTCAGATGCCAGGGCACTGTGTCCTGTGACAGTCAGCTGGGCAGCAACGCCAGCAGGAGCAGCTCCACTACCCGTCATGGGTACTCCCTCCACCACCCTGCTCTGCCTCTGCCTCTGGGGGACTGTGCTCCACCTCACCCCAGCACGCGCTACGGAGTCCCCGGGTAAGAAGGGTTGGACCCACACTCCAGCTCTGAGGGAGGAGACTGAGGTCTTCTCTCCTGGATCTTAGGGAAGAGGCTAGGGGTCTGAGCTCTAAGGTCTGAGGGAGGAAGCTGGGGGTCTGGATTTCTGGGTCTTAGGGAAGAGGCTAGGGGTCTGGACGCCAGGGTCTGAGGGAGGAGGTTGGGGGTATAGATTCCTGGGTCTGAGTAAGGAGGCTGGGACCTGTGTTCCTGAGTCTGAGGGATTGAGGGGGTGGGACCTGGACTTTTGAGTCTGAGGGAGGAGGCTGGGGGTCTGGACTCTAAGGTCTGAGGGAGGAGGATAGGGCCTGAATTCCTGGGTCTGAGGGATTGAGGGGGTGGGACCTGGACTCCTGGGTCTGGAGGGAAGAGGGACCAGGAGCCTGAGGGAAGAGGCTGGGGGGTCTAAGAGAGGAGGCTGAGGGTCTGAGGGAGGAGGCTGAGGGCCTGGTGGGGAGGGCCTGTTTTGTTGTTTAGACCTCAAGATTGTGCCTCTCTTTAGGGGTCTGCTATGTGTTTTTAAAATAGGATTATACATTGCGCTGCCTCCACTGGTGCTTTCGCTCAAAAACCTCTTCATGCTACTAAATATGATGGGTTTCCTTGAGATGAAGGACAGGCAGAGCAGGTGTGAATCACTTCCCCCTTGTGTAAATCTTAGAGGCCTTCCGGGAGGGGGTAGAACTAGAACAGATTATTTTATTAAAACCAAGCAAATAAACAACAGAAACACCCAACCGGATAGGCAGGTGCAGTTTCTGGAGAGGTGGACAGCCATGGGCAGCATGGGCAGCCGCAGGAGCACCCGGCTGCCCTCCCTGCAGAGTGTGTGGCCAAGCTTTCAGGGTTGAAGCACACCTGTCCCTCTTACCTTTCCCCTGCTCCTCCCTTCAGCCCAGAAGTGTTACAGCTATGAACACATCTACTCTGGCCCCTTTGACCTCAGTGGCATGGAGTTCCACCACGTCTCCTGTCCCCGCGGATGCTCGGAGGCAGTCTTGTCCCTGGACACCGGTGAGGTCAGGGGTTGGTGAGAAAAGAAGGGTGTGTCTGGGATCAGAAAGAGACGGTAGGGGGCAGAGCTGGCTCTTGAGCACAGCCGGGAGGAAGAAAGGAAGGAAGGAAGGAAGGAAGGAAGGAAGGAAGGAAGGAAGGAAGGAAGGAAGGAAGGGGGAAGGAAGGAAGGAAGGAAGGAAGGAAGGAAGGAAGGAAGGAAGGAAGGAAGGAAGGGGGAAGGAAGGAAGGAAGGAAGGAAGGAAGGAAGGAAGGAAGGAAGAGGGAAGGAAGGAAGGAAGGAAGGAAGGAAGGAAGGAAGGAAGGAAGGGGGAAGGAAGGAAGGAAGGTAGGAAGGAAGGAAGGAAGGAAGGAAGGAAGGAAGAGGGAAGGAAGGAAGGAAGGAAGGAAGGAAGGAAGGAAGGTAGGTAGGAAGGAAGGAAGAGGGAAGGAAGGAAGGAAGGAAGGAAGGAAGGAAGGAAGGTAGGAAGGAAGGAAGAGGGAAGGAAGGAAGGAAGGATGGAAGGAAGGAAGGAAGGAAGGAAGGATGGAAGGAAGGAAGGAAGGAAGGAAGGAAGAGGGAAGGAAGGAAGGAAGGAAGGAAGGAAGGTAGGTAGGAAGGAAGGAAGAGGGAAGGAAGGAAGGAAGGAAGGAAGGAAGAGGGAAGGAAGGAAGGATGGAAGGAAGGAAGGAAGGAAGGAAGGAAGGAAGAGGGAAGGAAGGAAGGAAGGAAGGAAGGAAGGAAGGAAGGAAGGTAGGAAGGAAGGAAGAGGGAGGGAAGGAAGGAAGGAAGGAAGGAAGGAAGGAAGAGGGAAGGAAGGAAGGAAGGATGGAAGGAAGGAAGGAAGGAAGGAAGGAAGGAAGGAAGGAAGGAAGGAAGAGGGAAGGAAGGAAGGAAGGAAGGTAGGAAGGAAGGAAGAGGGAAGGAAGGAAGGAAGGAAGGAAGGAAGGAAGGAAGGAAGGAAGGAAGGAGAGAGGGAGAGAGGGAGGGAGGGTAGGAGGGAGTGAAAGAGAGAGAGAGAGAGAGAGAGAGAGAGAGAGAGAGAGAGAGAGAGAGAGCTGGAGCAGGTAAGGCCGGTAGGTAGCACAGCGGGTATGGCATTTACCTGGCATGATTGACCAGGAGTTCAATCCCCAGCATCCGATTGGTTGCCTGAGCATTAGGAGGAGTTCCTGAGTGCAGAGCCAGGATTAACACCTGAGCATTGCTCAGGGTGTGTCCGCCCCTCCCCCCAAAAAGAGAGGAAAGAAAAAGAGATAGAGGAAGAGGGAGATAGGGAGGGAAGGAGGGAGGGAGGGAGGGAGGGAGGAAGGAAGGAAGGAAGGAAGGAAGGAAGGAAGGAAGGAAGGAAGGAAGGAGCCAGCCAGCCAAGGGTTGGGGGTATGAAATAGGATAAAGGTAGAGAGAGCCAGATCAGAGAAGGGACAGGAAGAGAGGGAAAGGGATAGGGGCTTGAGAAGATGACAGTAAAGAGTTGTTAGAATTGCTGGAGGGGAGAGGTCAGGAGGGACAGAAAGCAGGAGGGAAGGAGTGAGGGGGGAAGAGTGAGTGGTGAGAAAGGAAGGTTGAAGGGAGGAGGAAGAGCAGAGGAGGGGCTGGGAATGGGGAGAATCCTAAAGGGAAGGGAAGGAGGAGGGAGAGGAAGGGGGAGTTGGGGGGCAGCCAGAGTGTGGGGCAGGACAGGTGGAAACTGTGGCACAGCAACACCCACCCCCTCTCCTGGCTCTGCTGCAGGGTACCGCGCCTCTGTGACCATGGTGCAGAAGGGCTGCTGGACAGGTCCAGTTACCGGTGTGATGCAGAGCAACGACTTGGCGCTGCCGCCTGACTACTCAGGGGTGTTGGGCTGTGGGACCGACTTATGCAACAACAGACTTTTGTCCCATGATGACATCCCCAACCTGAGTCCAGGTGTGTCACAGGACACGGTTGGTGGAAGGGGGTGGGGCAGTGGGACAGTCAGGGGTGTGAAGTTCCACCTGTCTCCAGGAGGAGGCATGGCCTCAGCGAAGCGCCCCCTGGTGGTATACTAAACAACCAGTCACCTGTGCATCGTTCAACCTGCACAACGGTCCCACGCTGAGTATGTGTCTGCTCTCTCTTGCCAGCACCCAATCCCCCAACGCTCAGTGGCACCGAGTGCTACGCCTGTGTGGGAACCCACCCTGAGGACTGTGCCCTGGAAAAGTCCAGAAAAGTCCAGTGTCACCAGGATCAGAGTGCCTGCTTCCAGGGCAACGGCCGAATGAACATTGGTGAGAGGCTGGGAGAGTGGGAGGATCTGGAAAAGGGGGTGCAGGCAGGGTGGGGGCGGGGAGCCATGCCAGACAGACCTGACAGGGAGGCATGGTCCATCTCTGAAGGAGGAGACGCAGCACTAAAGAAAGAAGAGGCACCGGGGGCCAGAGCTGTATACAGCAGCCAGGGCATCTGCTTTCCATGTGACTGACCTGGATTCAATTCCTGGGACCCCAAATGGTTCCCCAAGTGCCACCCCCCCTTAAAGAAAGGAAAGAGGAGGCAGGACTTTGGTCTGAAGGAGGAGGCATGACGCTGGCATGGCTCAAGATTGAAAGAGGTTCTGGAATGATAGCACAGTGGATAGGGCTTTTACCTTGCATGCGGCCAACCCGGGTTCAATTCCCAGCATACCATATGGTCCCCTGAGCACCGCCAGGAGCAATTCCTGAGTACAGAGCCAGGAGTAAACCCTGTGCATCGCCGGGTATGACCCAAAAAGCGGGGAATAAAAAAGAAGATTGAAAGAGGAGACATAACCTTGATCTGGAAGGAAAAGGCACAGTCCCTGCTCTGAAAGAGAAGGAATGGCTTTGGTCTGAAGGAGGAAGCATGATCCTGGTGTGAGGGAATAGGCATACTCTGTTCTGAGGGAAGAGGCATAGTCTGAGGGAGGAAGGTGGTACTGGTCTGAGGGAGGAGGGGAGGCACTGGCCTGAGAGAAGAGGGTGGCACTGGTCTGAGGGAGGAGGGGAGACACTAGCCTGAGGGAACAGGGTAGCACTGGTCTGAGGGAGGAGGACACTGGTCTGCGGGAGGAGGGAGGCGCTGATCTGAGGAGTGGAAAGCAGTCTGAGGACAGAGGTGGGTGTTGGAGTCGGAGGCAGCTGTGTCCCTGGGTGATGACCCTCCTCCATGTCCCCCCTAGGCAATTTCTCGGTGCCCGTGTACATCAGGACCTGCCACAGGCCCTCCTGCACCGTTAGAGGCACTAGCAGCCCCTGGACAAACATCGACCTCCAGGGCGCCTGCTGTGAGGGTCAGCTGTGCAACCGCGACGCCGTCAGCCAGACCTTCGAGCCCAACCCCGCGACAGGCAGCGCCCCTAGGCGGGCGCCCCACGCCCCCGCATTGGTCCTGGCAGTCCTGCTGGCCTGCGCGCCCGGACGCCCCCGCGCCCTCGTCTAGACCATCGGGACCCGGAGGCGGGGCACAGAGCACACGCAGCCCTCCTCCCAGCTCCGGCCCGCGCCCTGCGGCTCCCCGGGACCGGATGCCAGGCCCGGTGCCCGCTCCCCTCCCCTCCTGCAGCCCCGCCTGGACCTGTCCTGCAGGAGACACCGCAGGCCCCTCGCATCCCGGGGCGGGGCGCGCAGCCGCAGCCTGACCGGCGGGGCGAGTCGCCCCACACTAGCTACTCCGCTGCCGCACGCCCAGGCCCTGGGACCCCGCCCACCTTGGCAGCCGGCCTTCCTGACCCCCAGCCGCCAGCCCCTGGGCCGGCAACGCTGACCCGGACTTTGTGCGCATCTTGGTGACGGCCACCAGAGGGCAGTGTTGGGCCTCGCTGCAAGGCTCCCTTGCCCAGCCGACCGGCCTTCCCCTCTCTCTGCACCTGTTTCCTCACAGGAAAATGCAAAACACCCGCCGGAACCACAGTGGTTGTGGCCCGGGTTGAATGAGATAAACACCGAGAACCTGAGTCAGCCGCAGGAGAGGCCAGGAGAGTGCAGAAGTCTGCAGATCTCTGCAGATCTCGTGGCGGGAGAGCCCAGAAAGGTCAGCAAAACCCTCCACGCAAACAAGGGCACGAGTGGGTGTCGGTTGATTTGGCAGGAATCCCCTTGAACCCAGCAACGTTCTCCACTCTGATCAGGGATGATCTGGGAGACTTCCTGAAGGAAGTCACCCTTCAGCAAAACCCCAAAATGTTGGTGAAAGAGGAGTTGGCAGGAGAAAAGACATGCTGGGTGAACAGGCGCTCAGAGTCAAAAGTCCCAAGAGCGGGGGCTGGAGAGCGGGTAGGGCTGGCACAGCGGGTAGGGCGTTTGCCTTGCATGCAGCCGACCTGGGTTCAATTCCCAGCAAGCCATATGGTCCCCTGAGCACGGCCAGGCGTAATTCCTGAGTGCAGAGCCAGAAGTAACCCCTGTGCATCTCCGAGTGCGACCCAAAAAGCAAAAAAAAAAAAAAAGTCTCAAGAGCTCACAAATTTTACCTGGTTTGGGGGTGCAGAAGGAGTTGGGGTAACTCCCACCCCAGCTGGCTAGCCCTAGACAGCCCCAAAGACCCCCCCATGATCAATCATGCAGGTGAGCAAACTGCTCCTCACTCTTCTAGAACCTCCTGTAAAGAGGGGCCGGAGAGAGTACAGTGAGTAGGGTGGTCACCTTTTACACAGCTGACCCAGGTTCGATCCCCGGCATCTGTGACCCCTGCTAGCAGTGATTCCTGAGTGCAAAGCCAGGGGTAAGCCTTAGTATCATCAGGTGTGCCCACCCCCAAAAAAAGAACCTCACTTGGAGAGGTAGAATAGATGACCCTATCTCTGTAGCTTCCCGACACACACAATTTATTTTTGCACAAATCATCTGTCGTTCTTCACACCCAGTGCGACCCAGTGGGTTGGTGCTGAGGAGGCCAACAAGGTTCTCTTGGTTTGCTTCCAGGACTCAATAAACCTCAGCAAATTGGTTTGGCTTCTGTTGAGTGCTGGGGGGGGGGGGGGGCGGCGGGGGGGGGGCTATAGATGACATTGCTTTGTTCTTTCTCCCTTGCCACGAGGAGCTTAGGTTTATCAAGTTACACCCATCACAGTGCTCTGGAGTCACTTTCATTCCTTCCTTTAACTATAGCCACTTCTCTATGCTTTCTTCCCCAACCAGTTAATCAACTTTTCCCCTAATCAGAATCTGTTAGTTTGTAAAGGCAGATCCTTCCAGGACACTGAACTTGTATTGTAAGTTAATACTGCTTTTCTCCTATCCTTATGTCTTTTGAATAGTTTACTTTAAAGCAATGCCCTTTTTGTATAGATACAGGAAGACTGTTAATATTATGCTTTGTAACTTAGGATTTAATTGGCTCTGAATATTATTCACTCCCAGGCATCTGCTTTCTCGACATAAGCCTCAGTTGCCCTTGGTTCCTAACACCCCAAAAGCAGGGTCCCGAAGAGGGACTGAATGGACCCAGGGCAAGCTGTGAGCTACCCTGGCATCGAAATGGGTCAGGCCAAAGTGTCACAATTCTTAACTATAAGTTAAGAGCTTGATCATAGACAAATGCTGTCATGATCCAAAAGTAACGACGAGACTAGGACCCTACTAGGGATAGGAAAGACTATCTGGCCTGAGCACTGTAGTCTGAGATCAAGAAGGCCCTAGGAGAGCAATTCTATAAGCTTAAGGTATTTCTTACTGTATTTATACAAAATGATTTATATTATGTATGCTTATATGTTTGTTGGACAAGGAGAGGAGAAACACACCCAGGGGATTCCGTTCTAGGGTGGGTCGTCCTGCTGAGAGAGTATCTGTCCTAGAAGCTGCTTTCTCCAAGGGAAAGAACTTTACCTCTATTGATTGTGACCACACCTATGTGTAATTGTTACCCCAACTCCTCATGCTTTGGGATTTAACTAGACTGTAAGAGTGAGAAGGAGAAGGAGAAGGAGAAGGGGGATCGGGAAGGAGAATGAAGTAGCATGGGGGAGGAAGACGCAGAAGGAGAATCAGAGGAGAATGGAGATGGGAATGGAATAAACTGCAACTAGACCAACCAGCCTGGCCCTCGTTCCTTCCTTCACCTGCCCATCGCCATCAACCTCCCCGGGGTGGGGGAACCGGTGTGAGACTACCGAACGCTGGCAGTGGGAGAGATAGAGCCGCTGCTGCTGCTGGCTTTTTTGAGTTTACACAGTGGGGCAACATAAGAGTGCTGAGCGCAGAAGGGTGCACAAGCCTGAGGGAGAGAATTTGTGCATTGGTGGGGAGATACACTAAATGTGTTTTGGGCCACACCTGATGGTGTTCAGGGCTTACTCCTGGCTCTGTGCTCAGGAATTACTCCTGGTGATGCTTGGGAAAACTTATGGAATGTCAGAGATCGAACCTGGGTCTGCCACATTCAAGGCAAGCGCCTTCCCCTCTGTCCTATCACTCTAACCCCAAAAGTAAACCACACTTATTCTATGTGGTCTCCCTGAACAAGCCCCCAGAGCTGAACCCTTCACACTTTCTAACCTCAGAAGCCAATGTGCAAAATTCATTCTTAAAGCATTTCCAACCTGCCCTCAGCCATCAGAGGAGTGAAGGTTCAGCCTGTCCTCTGGTGAAGATGCTTGGCAGATTTCAAGGATCTCGGTAGTAAGAATGGACCCTGGGCAGCAACTGCCATGCCTGTCCAGTTGAGGGGTGCTGGGGTGGGGTGGGGCACAGAGAGTGGGAGAAGAAGAGAGGGGTGACTGTGGTAGAGAGAGACTTGACGTACTGGTGTGAGAGGAAGAAGACTCAAGGATGGGAACCAGAATGATAGTACAGCAGGAAGAGTTTTTGCCTTGCATGCGGTCCACCTGGGTTTGATCCCCAACATCCCTTATGGTCCCCGAGCACCACCAGAAGTGATTCCTGAGTGCAGAGCCAGGAGTAACCCCTGAGCATCACTGGGTGTGACCAAAAAAGCTGAAAAGAAAGAAAGAAAAGACTCAAAGATGAAGAGGGGGGCCAGGCACATGCCTAGCATGTGTGACGCCCTGGGTTCAATCCCTGGTACTGCAGGGAGTGGCCTGGAGGCCCCCAGAACAGTGGGGTCTGAGCAGTTCCTGGGGCCCCAATTGGTCAGGCCTGTGTCCTAGGGAGAGGTTCCTAATCCCTAAACTCTGATAGAGGTTATGCTTTTTTTTTTTTTTTGCTTTTTTGGGTCACACCCGGCGTTGCACAGGAGTTATTCCTGACTCATGCACTCAGGAATCACTCCTGGCGGTGCTCGGGGGACCATATGGGATGCTGGGAATTGAACCTGGGTCGGCCACGTGCAAGGCAAACAACCTACCCGCTGTGCTATTGCTCCAGCCCCGAGGTTACGCTTATTTTTTAAAAATAATCACTTGATCACTTGATATTCTGTTACTCATCGATTTTCTCGAGCAGGCGCCATTAATGTCTCCATTCATCCCTGTTGCATGCTGGCGTAGCCCAATGGCATCTGCTTGTTCTAGGAACACGAAGAGCTTCAAACCGATCATTCAGGGTCTTGATGAAGAAGTCTGACCATCTTATAGATGGGCGGCCACGCGATCTTTTGATGTCCCATGGAATCCAGTCAGTAATGGCTCTAGTCCAGCGGTCATCTTCAAATCTCATTACGTGTCCAGCCCATCTGATTTTCGATGTCTTGGCAAAAGAGGCGGCGTCCCTGATTCTTGACCGTTGATGGAGGTCGGAACTCCAGATTCTTTCTCTCATTTGAGTGAAGCGTGATACTCCTAGCATAGCTCTTTTGATTCCTCTTTGAGAGACCCAAATATCGTTCTCTTCCTGTTTTCATAGGGCCCAGGTCTCTGAGGCATATGTTAATGCAGGAAGAACAGTGGAATCGAAGAGATGTGCTCAGAGCTGGAGGTTCTTCATCCTCGTAGTTATTTCTTCAACGGTCTTGAAGGCATCCCAAGCCGCTCTTTTCCTCCTGCACAACACAGGTCATTCGTCATGTTGACTTCTCGACCTAGGTACACATAACTGTTGCATTCGGAGATGGTCAGTCCATTGAGAGTGAATGGAACATCAGGAACAAGACTGTTTCTCATGAACATTGTCTTTGTGAGATTCAGTTGTCATCCGACCTTTCCATACTCACAGTCAAAGTCAGTCAGCATTTGTGCTGCTTGGCTGATGTTTAGTGTTATTAGAATGATGTCATCAGCAAAGCAGAGGTGGTGCAGTTACTGATCATCTATCTTCACTCCCATTCCTTCCCATTCCAGTCATCGCATGATGTTCTTGAGGGTGGCACTGAAGAGTTTCGGTGAATTAGTATCACCCTGACAAAACCCTCTCTTGACATCGATGATCACTTCTTTGTGGAATGGTGAGATCCTGGTAGTGAATCCATAATACAGCTCACGGAGGATCCTGATGTATTGAGTTTGAGCGCCCTGATTGGCTAGGGCTTCGATGACCACTTCCATCTCAACAGAATCAAAGGCCTTCTTTAAACCAATGAACATTAGACACAGCTGCATCTTGAACTCCCGAGAAACCTCAATGAGCTTGGTTATCGTGTGGATATAGTCAATGGTGCTGAATCCTTTTTGGAACCTGGCTTGCTCGCATGGTTGTCCTTCATCTAGTGTTCTGCCAATCCTATTCAGGATGACTCGAGTGAACAGCTTGTAGATGACAGACAATAGG